TCTCCTCCCCACCAGGCTATAAATAATGATCGGTCCCTAAGTGAAGATGTAGCCAAATACAGAGAGGGAGGTAAATCTTTCTCCAACTCCTTATCAATTGGGCTCCACTCCTCGCTCTCATCATGAATCTGGGTCCCCTCATGAGTGCCTTGTCACCCGAGCAGACTTTGTATCCCACCTCTCCCCTCCCCACTGTTTCCTTTGTGAAAGTTTTCTTGTGATCGAATGAGAGGTGGCAGGTAACCAAGCTTACCACGGTGAAACTTGAAAGCTTACACCCATTTAATAGCCGGGTCGAATCTTCTCATAGGAAAAACGGAAGGGCGAAATGACTTCTACTAAAGAACATGGACCTCTGGGCTAGTATGCTTATGAAATCAAACGTACTTGGCCTATGCACGCAAAGGTTGCAATTGAACTCGAAAAACGACAACTTACCACCCAAAGTGATGTAATATATGCCATTCTCTGCATTGGGTCTTTCATCTTTTATGTCATCGCACGATTTTCCCGGATTTTTAGGAGAGCCTCTGTTATCTAAAATATCATCAGCTTTTATGGCTTGCCACTGATTCCCATCACAAACAAACAGCTTCCAGGCCCTATCTGCATTGCACTCATCATGATCAGCCACTGCGACAGACAGCGTGCAAGTCACGAGAATGAACAAAATTACCAATTTTCGCATGTTCAACGAATATCTACAGAGAGGCCAAAAATAAGATATGATTCAGAATCAGAGGTAGTGACTCTTGTACTACGTGTCGTTGTCGCAGTTTCTATGCAAATCTAATCAAACTTTCAATCAGTGAACTCGGGTGGAAACGCTAAGACAGATAACAGTTTGGTAAAGCTATTAGTCCTGATACAACGTCACGCATCTTTACCACAATATCGATTCTAAGCGACACTAACAAACAAAAAAGTCTTGACCAGAGCCAGTTAACTTTGAAACTCTAAATCGTTTCTCTTAACTTTGCCCCTTTTTTAGCTCAAAGGAACAACAATTTGTGACAGGCTTTTCAACATACGTGTATGAATCGAAACCCTCTAAAAAATAACTTACTTACCGTGAATCTCCTCGAAGTTTTACCAGTCTGAAATCACACGGTTTGAAACCTGTGAAGAATAAATGAACATGTAGGTTTCCATTTGGGTTTTACAACGAAACAGGGATCATATGAAAAGAAAAATGATTCTTATCGTCTAAATTAAGCAGTTCTTACCTGATTCGTGCCGAGGAAAACACTGCTCAAGCTGAAGAACGCAACAACCTTAAGATAGAATACGAATGCGTTGTAAAATGAAAATCTTGGCTTCCTATTGGCTACTGATGGCGTTTAGGATGAGTGACTGACAGCATCAAAATTTATCAGGAATGCCTACTCGTCTCGCAAATGGCTTCAGCTCAGAATATGATAAATGTTTCTTCGATATACGCCAAAACAAATTTAACAAACGCTCATCAGCTATAAAGCCTTCAATCGATTTGCAATTAATCTTATAACTTATCATTTGCTATGTGACATGTCCCGTCATACTGTAAAATGTGATAAATGTGTTTACCCCAAACCAAAAGAAACGGGTGACCACGGAGCTTTGCAATGTTCTCTTATTTTTAACGATACGTGATTATTCTAAAAATTGGCCATTTGTTATGTCCCATTTCTAGGTTATTTTGATTTAGGGGCTCTCCAACGATGTCATATTAAAATTGATTATAGCGATTATAGCTCCCACGCAATAAATGAAACATTTTTTCCCTTATGCAAGAAGGTAGTGTTGGCAACTTTTTGGCGGGCGATGGCAAGTTTGTGATGAAAATATTCTCGATACAAAGTTGGTCAATGTAGTTGTTAATTTGTTACAGTAAAGTGGAGATACAAACTGTAAGCTTGCATCTGTTGTTTAATATTTACAGTTTCCGTCTATGATACGAGTTCAGTTTCATTTTCTTCTTGGGACAAGTTCTTTCACAGAGTCATACTCATGATCATTTTTTTAGAGTATTATTGAGAATCATAGCTGCTTTTATTAAAAAGGTAATGCAAATGAGTTTTCGGTTAGTTTGTCTACAGTACTTAACTGAGATGGTGTGTTTAGTGGCGGATCCAGGGAGAGGGTCCGGGGGGTCCGGACCC